CCCCCCCCCCTTCCCCATCCATCATTCTTATTCACCAACGTCTTCTTCAACCCCCCCTTTCGATTCCTTATTCCCTCCCTCACTTCTCCCTCGAGAGTCTCGCATCGCCCGTAAGGAGCCCTCCCGTCCACCTCTCCTCCACGGCCCTACCACCTCTCCTCCACTCTGACGCGTTCCACCTCCCTCTTCCTGTTGACCCGACCATGGATTACGCAATCTCACCTGGCGGCCGCGTAGGGATCGATAGCGCTTGCGAATGGATTCTAGACCCCCCCAAGCATTCGCCGCTCGGTCGCGGCCGTTCCGCCATCCCCTCGTTCACTTGAATCTCATCTTGATCGACCTCATGATGGGTGTGTGCGTTCCTGTGAGTGAGAGAGAGAGAGGGAGGGTAGGAGAAGCGGCCATCCATCTTTTCTTCTTTACGTTCCTCTCATCCCTCGACTCTCAAAGAGGTTGGGGTTGGAGACAAGTCACCGTTATACCGCGCAAGGTGAGCGCTCCAAGTACTGTACGTACATGCAGTACACGTTCAGATACATCCTTTAGTGCTACGAAGTCAGTACCACCTTGGCTGCACCTCCTCCTCGTCCACACGCACACTCGCTTCGCTGGCTGTTCACCACTGTGCTGTGGTCGATATCGACTTTTGACTCTGCGCACCCCTGCGAAATTCGTGATCCTTGTGCATGCAGCAGGACATACAGTGGATCCAATGCAGAGCCGCGCAAGGAGAGGGGGGAAACTCGATGGGGATCTGGCACGAAAGCATCGGCTATCACCACCCACCCATGCGACCAAACTCTACTCGCGGAGAGGAAGGAGAGGGAGTGTGTGTTTGTGAGAGAGTGGAGAAGGTTTCGACAGCATCGTGCTTCCACCAAGAACGTCGGTCGGTGCTTTTCGAGGTCGACTTTGTTCTTTAAGCGATCCGCGCGTGATCTTCTCCAAGGTTTTTTATCTTTGTATTCCATTTCCACCAACCTTGTTACTCGGACACTCTACATCCCCTTTTTTGAAAGACCATCCACTCGTCATCCACTTGGAGTCCTCCTGGAGGTCGTCTTAATGTGGGTGGGGGAGCTTTCTGAGCGGATTCGAAGCGAGATTCACAGTGGCGTCCACCTCTCTCTTCGCTCGCCTCCTGCGCTTCTTCCGTCCGTGAATCGTGATTCGGTTAGAGGCACGACATGGGTGCTTCACCGTTTCCCACCATCTCTCAAACTTCAGTCTCGCACAGGGAATGCAGGCTCTGTTCCGTCAAGGTTGTGGGGGGTGGGGTCATCTGATTCAAAGGTGCACCGATCAGTCGGGTTTCGAACCCACATCCCTTTCCAAGCCCCCCTCCGTCCATGCGCGGCCTCCTCCTACCTCCTTCAAAGCAGGTCTTCTGGGGAAGAGAGGGAGGGAGAAGGTAAGAGTCACACAGGCCAGCCAGATCAGGAAAGGAACTTGGAAGGATGGGCGAAAGGGGTTTTTTTGAAGGATGTCCTCCCACCGTCATTCCCTTCTCCCCTTCTCTCTTCCTCAGGAGAGGGTCGTGTAAGCATACAAGCCTCGTCGTTGGCCTGGAGCCAGGTGGTTCAGGATCGCGATCATCGATCCTTCACCGCCCTAACCCCAGTTTCCTTGGAAATGAACGGGAAGGGGTAGAAACGACTTCTTCCGGCTTTCTCGTCTCAGATCAGACCAAGGTGAACCCCCCATCCTCTCCTCACCTTGCAACATCTTGGTACCGCTTCAAACAGGTGGGTGCTATCGAATCCTTGTGCATGCCTCGTCTCTTCAACGAGAAAAAGGAAAACCCAGGTGTCAGAACGATCAAAGCCAAACAGGAGTACGTGACGAGAATAGATTGAGCGGAGAAGTTGCTCATGGAGAAAGGATGGTAGGGGGGAGGTTTAAGACATCGGGTCCCCCATTGAGGCCCCCTCCCCCAATAAAAAAAAAAGAGAAGAAGAGCTGGAAGACCTGGGCATCGTTGGCGTTGATACGTTATCCTGATTATTTTGCATTTTTTATTTATTTATTTTTATCTGTTTTTTAAGAAAAGGAAGCCAACCTTCGGCACAAGCCGTCCGAATGTTCACGGAGAGGACCGAGTGGAGGGCCAAAAAAAAAAGATAGGAGGCATGAGCATTCATACCTGCTGCAGGACGGCAAGACGAAAGAGAGGCGGTCGGACGCTCCGTTCCCAAGCAAGCTTTTGGCAACGGGTTTCTCTTGCCATTTGGCAAGGTTCAAGGAGGAAGCCATGTGCGAACTTGGGGTAACATGGCTTCCACGTGGGAAGCTCCCGTCACCTTCCTCTCTCTGTCTCCCCGCCGCTCCCTCCGTCTCTCTCCCTCTTTCTTCTCTTTCCCTCTCCCTCTCCCCTCTGCTCTTCGTCTCTCCTTCCTCGGCCAGAGCGCGCCATGATGTTCCGTACTGCCTGTACTCTACGTTCTGTCTGAATCTTTACATGCAGTGCGAACACGCATTCGTGCGACACCCACCTCGGCGCATGTCAACCTCCCAAACGAAAAGGAAAACCACCTCAAGGGGAACCTGACTCGCCCTTGTCACCTTCTTCCTCGAACCTGATCGAGCAGAGAGAGAGAGAGAGGAAGGAAGAGAGAGAGAGAGAGAGAGAGAGAGAGAGAGAGAGAGAGAGAGAGAGAGAGAGAGAGAGAGAGTTTTGGACACAAAGTAGCCTACCAACGGTGCCCGAGCAAGGAATCTTTTCGGAGCTCTCCAGAAAAAGAAAGAAGAAAAAAAAGTGATCCTTGGATCTGGGGGATGGGTAAGATCAGCCACTGGTTATCATGGACGTTAGGGTACGAGCCAGTCCCGACTCTCCCGATTTCCTCCTCACTACGTCATCCACCCCAACAGAGAGACGCCACCCTTAGAACGACGTAGGATCGGATAGCCTCAAACGCGAAGCGAGGCAGAGAGTCGGGTTGGATTCGATTCGCCGCTCTTCGTATCTGACGGATCTGGAGGATCCCCGAGCCGAGCATCTGGGATCGTTGAAGCCTCCACCTTTCCCCGTATCTCGAATCCTCTACAAGCGACAATGGAGAGAGGAAGGGAGGGAGGTTCGAGCGAATCCTGGCTTTTTTTCGGACTGGATGCCCTCAGCAAGCCCCGCTCGCATTCCGCATTCCGAACCGGGCGAGAGGCGAAGAGTAAAGAAGACGGATAGGATGCCGGGCCCCCTTGAAGGCTTAGACGAGCCGAGAAAACCCTCCAACCAGGTTTTTCGATTCCCTTCCTCTTTGACACAGTCGTAACGCACGACCACAGGTCGTTCAATGCTGGCCATGTACCATCCTGGGCTTTCCTAAAGAAGTTTGGCCCCACCATGTACGGTTTCGTGGAAGGCTGACACCGTAATTCCAGCGTTTGAAGAACGACAGTTTGACGACTTTTGGTAAGGTTCCAGCAACCTTCTCTCCCGCAGAGGAGCGTTGGATGTCAAACCCGGATTGACGGAAGAGAGAGGGGGACACGTGAGATTGTGTTTTGGAGCAAAAGAAGAAAAAGAAACTTCCGGTCCGGGAATTGAACCCGGGTCTGCGCCGAGCGTCAACATCAAGTTGTCTTGACAAGGCGCCGTCATAGCCACTAAACTAACCAGAATTCGATATCAGCCCGATCTACTATATAATGTATAATCCGCTTTTCAGTAACAAATGTTCACCTGATGAAGAACAAGTTGACCACGACATCATCTCCCAAGTGAATCAGAATCAACCTTCTCTCCCTCGTCTGAGAAGGTGGTCCCCCTCTCAAGTCTAGATTCCTCAAGAACTGATCCCTCATCAGCTTGGAAGTCGTCGTGTCAAAGTGGAAGCAAGTCGCCTCTACTTTGCACCACCAAAAGAAGGGAAAAAAAGAAAAAAAAAAAGAAGGCATAGAAATTTTTTTTCAATACTGTAGCCTCGCCTTATTCCAGATCGATTCCGCGAAGAAAATGTGGATGACGAGGGGCAGAGGGAGCTTGTCCCTTGGGAGGGAAGGACGAAGGAATAATGAAATAAAATGAAATCCCAAGGCGAAAAAGGGGGAACCGGGTAGTAGGGGGGAGGGGGGAGGGGGGGGGGGCGGGCATTCGCTCATCTTTCGGGGGGTCTGGAGGAGAGTCGCTTCGTTCTGCAACCTTGGGGAGAAAAAAGGCTGTTCCGTTCGAAGCGAGGTTCTTTCCAGTACGTTGACCCAATCTCCACGATGGAGTTGGACTTCACAAGAGGCGGGGGACGGAAGAGAGAATCTAGGTTTGACGTGCAGGCACGTTTCTTCCCCACAGGAAAGACTTCACAAGTTCGCAACCACACGATGCCAGCGATGGAAGATCGAGAGATGCGCCGCCTGCGCACACCAAGAGGTTGAGAAAGGGCTTGATTTGACTCTAATTAAAACATGTACAGCCAAACCCCCCCGTTGCCGGGCCCGCAGGACTGATACTTTCATATGCTCGCTCGTTCGCACAGCGGGGGAAGGACAAGACTCGAACCGAGCAAATGGCCTTAAGGGGGGGGGTGGGCGAGCGAGGTCGGGGTGGTACGGAGAGATGGTGCGGGTAACCGGAAACGTTCACTTCTTGAAGTAGTGGATCTCTTCCCTCTCACGGCCACGCATGAATTCAGGCTCGCTTCCCTTGTAGTAAATGTCGTCCCAGAGGGCCTCTGGCTTTGGCTCTGGGCTCTTCTTGGCCTCCTCGACAGCCAGGTCGACCTCCTCCTTGGCAGCCTTGTCGATCTGCTTCAGCTCGTGCTCCTCAACAATGCCCCAGTCGAGAAGCCTGGCCTTGAGACCCTGGATTGGGTCCGAGCTGCTCCTCATGGCCTGGATCTCATCACGGGTTCGGTAGGTCGTTCCCGGGTCAGAGAGCGAGTGGCCACCGTAGCGGTAGGTGACGAGCTCCATCACGAGTGGGCCAGAGGTGAGCGTGTACGCCCTAGCGTGCTTTGTGGCAGCAGCGACGGCGAGAACGTCCATGGCGTTGACCTGGAGACCAGGGATCACGTCACCCCTGGTGTAGTACGAAGTGTTCATCGAGGACCTCTCGGCGCTGGTTCCCATACCGTACTTGTTGTTCTCGCAGACGAAGACGCAAGGTAGGTTCCAAAGCTTGGACATGTTGTATGCCTCGAAGACCTGGCCCTGGTTGGAAGCACCGTCACCGTACATGGCGAAGGTGGCGTTGTCCGCGCCGAGGTACTGCTGAGCAAAAGCGAGACCAGCTCCCACTGGAACCTGGGCACCGACGATACCGTTTCCTCCGAAGAAGGTTGGGGTGAACATGTGCATGGAACCACCCTTACCCTTGGAGATACCGTCCTCGCGTCCAAGGAGCTCGGCGATGACGCTCTTGATTGTTCCTCCCTTTTGGACGGTGAATGGGTGGCATCGGTAGGCGGTAATGAGCTTGTCATCTGGCTTCATACCTGCCTCCATACCGACGGCAACGGCCTCCTGACCGATAGCCAAGTGGCAGAAACCACGGATGAGCTTCTGCTTGTAGAGCTGATCGGAAGCCATCTCCATCCTTCGCATCTTGACCATCTCCTCGTAGAGGTGGACGAGCTCCTTCTTGGTGGTCTCGAACTCGAGCTCTGGGACGTCGAACTTGTAACCCTTGAAAGACTCTGGGCTCAGAGCAACCTTGAAGGGCTCGGTCGCCGACGAAGGAATCTCAGTGGCTGGCTTGGAGGCATCGGCAGTGATGTGAACGAAGCGAGAGGAAGATGGAATAGCGTTGCGGGACAAGGCAGGCTGTTTTCATCCATCGAATTTGATTATGATTTTGATTTTTTTTTTCGAAAAAAAAGGGAGGAGGGGAGAGAAGGAGAACCAAAGAGTAGATAGAATCTTGGGTCAGCGTCGGGGTCCTGACCAGTGTATGGGCGACGAGTGCGATTGAACCAGCCTCTTTCCCCGACCGCTTTGCTTTTCACTTTCCGAGCTCAATGACTCCTCCACGTTCTGCCCCCTGCTCTTCGTCACACCAACCTCCGCCCCTTGATTCCCCAAAATGCGAAGGAGCTCGTGCTCCATCTCTCTCTCTGGGAAATGGGATGCTACCACCTTCCTCCTCCTCCTCGGGGCTACGTGCCGACAGCTGAGCAAGCCTGGGGTCTTAGCGAGAGAGGTCCGGCAGCGGTGGAAGAAACCAACTGCGTGGGCCGAAGACAGAGGTCGCTTGGATTGGGTGGCGTTGTGTGAAAGGTTACTCACAATGGCGGGAGCAGACCTTGCGGTCGCCGCTCGGAGCACGGATCGGGCGAGGCTAGCCATGGCAGTGGTGGCAGTGGTGGTGTTCGTGCTAAGTCGTGTGCGGGGGGGATGGTGATGGAAGGGATGGAGAAGAATGGAGAAGGATTTGCGGGGGTGGAAGGCGGTTGGTGGGGGGGGGGGGGGGGGGGGGGGGGGGGGGGGGGGGGGGGGGGGGGGGGGGGGGGAGGGGAGGAATGAGGAGGATGGGAGAGGGGTTGAGGTGGTGTGGGAGAGAGATGGTTGGATGATGTGTGCACTCAGACTGAACCAGGCCTGATCGGAGAGGCGTCGGCGTGGGAGGTAAAATTTCCTCAGGGAAGGAAGGGAGAGAGAGAGGGTAGAGCCGCCCTGGAGGTGGAAGGAGGTGAGTCGCCCACAGTCAAGGGTGGGTGTGGGATGTGGATTGATTGGATTGGGGAGGGGGATGGGGGAGGGGGAGGGGGAGGGTTTGGTTGGGTAAAGAAATCGTGATTGGGTGGGGACAATTCGATAAATGTGGATGGGGGAAAGAAGCGACTTGAATACGAAAGGTTTTACCCATCCCACCGCGAGTTGACCACCTACACCGTGGTTCTATTTCCTTTTCGTTTTTCTTCCTTTTCTTTTCTTCTTCTTCTTCTTCTTCCTCTTTTTTTGGGAAACAAGGGTGCGAGTTAGAAATGCCACACAAGCCTTCGTTAGCTGGCCCAAACTAAAACACTTAGGCTCATTACTCACAACTGCGACTCCTAATCTTTCGCCATGCGCGCATATCGTCAACATTGATGGTCATGATCCATAATCGAATACTCGAATTGTAACCATGCTTCCGTCTGGTATGCATGAATAATTTATATGGTTAGAGAACGCTCATCAAAAAAATTAACATTCGTTTGATTTCTACTTGGTTTTCTCTAGTCGCGAACGAACTTGGTTCGAGTTGGGCTGGTCTCTGTGGCCTGGGCTTGGGCTTGGACCATGCCACCAGCCTCGTCCCCCACTGTGAACCACAGGAAAACCTATCTATCCCCCCTTCCCACTCTCTCTCACCGATTCACTCTTCCTCTTCCTTACACTTGTTCGTCCCTCGTCTTGCCTCACTCACGACGACTGTGTGGAACCTCGCTCATCCTGGCAAGTTGATGGTTGGTATGAAGGTGGAAAGGAGAGTCTCTGACTTCCAAACTTCTCACTCCCATTCGCCCTCTGGTCCGAGTTTAAATCAAGCTTGAAGGCCTCCTCCGTCTGGTTCGATGTGGATGACTGTATTCATGATTGTGCCGCTCATTCTCCCCCCATTTCAGGCTGAGGTTTTGTAGAGAATCCTTGACGCGGGCACCCACTTGCAGATAGTCAGTGAAAGAGTCGTCGGTGTTGTTCTTCTCCCTTTCTCATCACAGGGAAATAATCGTTCCTTTCTCCTCCTTGAGCTTAGGTTTAGGAAAGTCGTTTCTTAGAGTTGAATACAAATCAACTCGCAGGGTCTTCGAAAGCGTTTTAGGGGATTACGGGGTCCGCCAACCAAATTTGGGCCCACCGCAGCAAGCGCCACAACCGACCATCCATCCCATTCCTCGGAGAGATCCTGCCCCGATCACTCACACTCACGCAATGACTTTTTTCACCGACTTTTTTCCTTCCTCGTTTTTTTTTTCTTTTTTTTCTTCTTCTTCTCCTTTCCTCTCCCTTGCCGCCGATCAACCATGCTCGTCGCCCTTCCCGCATCCCCTTATAACCTTCCCTTCTCTCCCAATCTCTTTGCCCTCACCACACCCCACCATCACCCTTCACTTGCAATCAGCTCCATTCCCTTCCTCCCACGACGTTCTTGGCCAGTAGATCAACAAAGCACCTACCATGAAATCTGCAATGACACGCACATTCGACGATGAAGTTTCTCCGCAGTGATCAGATCGAATGTCGGACTCCATCATGACGATGCCCATCCTTGTGGTGGTCACAATACTCACCATCTTTCCCCTCGCATCCCGGACCCCTCACAGAGAACCCGGTGCCAGTCACCAACTCGGATACAGCTCATGAGACTTCAAGTGGAAGCCATTCAGAGACAGGAGGGAGAAAGAAAAAGAGAGAGAGAGAGAGAGAGCAGATGAAGGACAGGGGGCAACGGACGGACCATTGTTCTACAATGATGATCAAAACATAATAGAGTCAAGCACGGAACGCGAGTCGTTGTCCCTGCGTGGAGACTTCTCGCTTGCCGAGGACCTAGAAAGGTTTAAAACCCTACCTGAATCCATCAATGGGACCGTCGCCCCCTCCTTGTGCCTGGTCGGATTCTCTCTTCTCCTTCCTCTCTTCCTTCCTCTCTTCCTTCCTCCTTCTCGGTCGCAAAGCCTGCTCGCCATTTCTTGTCTGGCGAC